TTAATTTATTGATTATTGTATAATGCATTTTGAGGTATTGCATTTGATTGATTTTCTAGGGTCTTTCTTTTAATATTTGAATTGACACACACACACCGTACTTACTTGTTTTGACTATATATAGCCACACCCCGAAATCCAAGTTAGTCCTTGAAAATCCTTCACACCGGACCTAAATCGAGCAAACCAAAATCAATGTAAAAGACACCGATAATTTGCATTTATTTGAGCATAACTCTTTACTTGGGCCTAGTTTCCCTATAAACTCAATATCAATGGAAAATAAACATCGAGAGCTTTCCAACGGTAACTTACAGACCAAAATTAAAGGTCAAATGGCCTTGAATCGGTCAAACCAATTGGAAACCAATTGAACTGAACTAGGTCAGCCAAAACCAAGCCAACCTCCCCAAGCATAGCCAGTTGACCACTAAGGAGGGCCGGTCGACTGCCACCCTTCGGCCAATCGCCAGTGTCAATCGGCTGGCAATGGTCAATCGCCAACCATATTTCGCTAAAGTTTCCAATCCCACATCAGGAAATGTGCCAGAACCCCCTAGGTCCGAATCTCTATAAAATCTAGTCTATTTTTCAGTCCAAAGACACAAAAAATCTTTCTGAATAATCTTGCTCCTTGCAAAGTACATTCTAAAGGCCTTAGTTGAAATGTTCCTTTGCTCTTTAGCTCTCTTCTCATCTCCTTCACTTTTCTTCAGTGTCCTAAGTGAGCGAGGCAATATTCCTCCGATTTGCTTTCTACCTAATCTCTTCTTTATCCTAGATTTAGGTCTCCATATCTTTGGCTTCAAGCCTCCGTGGCTCACCAAGCCTTCATTAAAAAGTCTTATTTGGGGTTTACGCCCTCCTTGGTCTCCTAAACCTCACTTGGTTGAGGTTTTCCATTTTGAAATCTAAGTTAAGCTGAAGCTCCGAACCAGGAATGTCCTAACATCCCCCATTCCTAAGAAGAAGGAGAAGCAAGTTGGTCAGCCCTCCAATTCACCATCTGGTCAAACCCATTAATTTAGCCAAAAGACTTAGGTAAGCCCTCTATGGCTCTCTACTTTGAATATTTGTTCTCTTCTTTTAAGATGGCTCCAAAAAGCCTTATGTTTTTCAAATCCGGCAATATAACTCCAAGATTTTTTTTTCATAAAACAATAATCCGACGACTTTAAAACATGAGAAACAAGGTCTTTAATGAACATGTTTTCCTAATTAAAATCAATTAGCTCTTATTTTGCAATAGGTAGAACTGCTTGGTCTGATGAAAATGTAAATGTTAGAATGATTAATGCTAGAGTTAGGTGGGTTAGCATAGTAATAGTTAAGGAACAAAAATGTAAAATGCATAAAAGTAAAGAACATGAATGTAAAGAGAATAAAAGTAAAGACAGTAAATTAAAAGCATTTATTTAAAGATCACTGTCACGCCCAACCCTAATCACCAAAGGAATTTTCTGCTTTGGATCAAGCCAAATCCCCTATACAAGTTTGGTAAGACCCGCACAGTTTTGTCCTGCAGGTGAAATGAGAAACTTCCCAGGAGGCCACCCAACCTAGGATTTGCGTTAAGCAAGCACGCTTAACCCTGTAATTCTTCCAACTCTCCAACCATTTCACCAAAAGGCGCCTCTAATGATTAGTTTTCCCCTTTTTGATATATAAATCGATTTATTCCTGTGTCCCGCATTCCACTACCCAAGATAGCCTATCATCTTAGAAGGCTAGCCAAGAGCTTTGCTCTACCCGCCCTCTTAGGATCGCTTTGCCGGGTCGGGATGCCACAGGCCCACAACTTTCGCTTGGTTCGTCCTCGAACTATACATCTACTGGAGGGGCCCCACCACCAGGCCAGAAGGAGCGGAGGCTTTGGTCTGATTACCAATTGTAACAGCCCACCCATGTGTAATATAGTCCGCATCTGGGCCTACCAGGCCCGACGGGTTTGTTCTGGGAAGAATGGGAAACTTCCCAGGAGGTTCACCCATCCTAAGGATTTTCGTTAAGCGAGCAACGCTTAACCCACTGGACGAGTTCTTCCAAACTCTCCCAGCATTTCACCACCAAAAGGCCCTCACACATGTTGTTCAAAACGCCCCACCTTAATTCCTGAACTCCCGACCGGTGGTACTATTCAGACAGACGGATAACGACACTATTTATTTTAGACAGCGAAAAATTAGGAGTGGTTACGACAAGTAGGACTAAGGCGCTCGCGTCTAATATAAGACTGAGTATTACGAACCAAAGTCCTCGCAACAAATACATTTTTTCGCGTCTTCTGTTTTATTTAATGGTGGTCAGATAAGGAAGACGTGGTATTTATCGTGCTTAATGAAGGAATCCACGATGAAGAGAGGCTAAAACAAGACTCACTAATGGTATTGTTTATATTATGATTTCGATTATTTTTATTTATATTTCTTTATCGCTTATACTTTACGCTTTTTCCAATTTATGTCCATTCCTTTCATCTAAGCGTCTATTATCTGTCATTGAAGGTGAACATAACCCCCAAGGCCAATTAAAGAAATTGTGTAAGACAAAACGATCCTTAGCTCTCAAATAGGATATTCTTCGTTGGTTTTAATCGATTAAGTGTCACCGTATTTCTAAGTTAGAGTACAAGAACAAAGTGTTTCCGCACAAGTCTTAACGTTAAAAATGAATGTGTTTGTTTCGTATTAACAAGGGATCTCTTAAAAAATGAAAATTTATGTGAGTGACAATAACAGAACCACATCGGTCGTGAGACCTAGATCAATGAGTGTTTAGATCATTTGTGAGCGAAATTATGACCTTGAGGCTCAGTCGGAGTAGATCCTCATAATATAATATATATACTATTAGTCTGCTGAGGCAGGGCGTGATATCGAAGTAATAGCAGGCTAGAGGATTGTGTTTGCGTCTGTAGTTGGTGATGTGCCGTGGATTATGGAAATGAACACATCAATATATTATATATTTGATTCGGCTATAATATAATAATCTAGTTATTTATTTTTACGTATTTATTTGTGCATTTTAACAAGGGTAGGAGTTCGATTTTTGATTACGATTTTGTTAAGGACGTAACACGCGTTGTTTTTTCCATTTTATTTACTTCATTTTTTTTTTTTTTGTAGGTGAAGCGAGACTTCTAGGGTATGATGTCGTCTCTATGTGGTGTGTGTATGACACAGGAGGTCACCGTAAGGTGTCGTTTTTTGTTGTACTGGTGATTTTGTAGTTATGGATTTTATTTAGTGAATAAGAAAGTGGGTCAGTCTTATATGTAGTTGTATGAAGTTAGCACGCCAGTGATGTTAAGTACGTAGATAAGTGCATGAGCAATGATCTGGTATAAGACAAAGTAGAATTGAGACGTCTGAGCCAAGCGTGGAACGTAGGTAGACTAAGCGTATGAGATGAGCATCAAGAACGCCCATTCCTATGAGAAGATACAGAGGAAACAGCCTTAGAATAGGATAAGACTTATAATAGCTGTACGGCCCGATAGCACTGTTGCATGACGGACAAGCTGAGTTTGTTCTGTTACACTAGATGTAGTGAATAGAGCGAGAGGGAAGTCGAGGGAGGACACGCAATACATGGTCGACTATAAGCTATCTATATCACTCTTCGGCGAGACGTAACTTGTAATAAAAAATACTTATAGAATCCTAAAATATTATTTTGGATATCGGATTAATAAAATGTTAAGGAAGTGATAGTTGAAAGCGTAACATTTGAAATTTTTATTAATTGGATAATATTATGATAAATCTTAAAAGTTATGTAAGTCGGATAGGGACCTTGATTGAGTATGTAATAATTGTTTAAGCTAATTGCATGTGTAAAAAAGGATATTATATTACGATTGAAACTGACTCAGGGTACAGTTGTAATTATTTCTCAGTTAGTTCAAACACGTGAATTAATTCAATCAAATCAAATAACATATTTATGTTTCAATGGTATCCAACACAGTAATTTGTCCTGATACTTATAATTGGTCTAATAATAGAGCATGTAATTAATTTATATTTTATTTCCAATATGCGAGCAGTATCGTCAAACTTTTTCTTTTAACATTGTATATAAACTAAAATATATTATATCATGCTATGAGACCAAGATTAATATCTTTCAAATACACAAGAAAGTACCATAAAAATAGATATGTGTAGGAATAATTTGTGATAAGGTACTAAATAAAAAGTTTATTTTCTCAATCATAATGATAATGTGGTGGATATCTTAGTATAAACTATATGTTTATTATAATTATAACACATCGATATAATTTTTGTTAAAATAGAAAAAAAATATGGAAACATATTGTATAAATTTCTTTTTTCCGATAAATATATAAATAGAATATGATAGATTAGAGACAGCTATATGAAATTTTATAAACTTTTAATTTAATAAAGATATTAATTTGTTTTTAAAGTATTTATTAGACTTGCTTATATTGATATTTATAGATTTAAAATGACTTTTTGATTCTATTTGTATTATAATTTAAAATCTTTTATTTAGGAGAGATATTAGAAAAAGAAAAAAGATATATTTTTTGTAACAAGTTTTCTGATAGAATGAATATACATAATTAAGTCTTTCAAAATTTTAAATTTTTACTTTCAAAATTTATTTTTAAATAAAATGAACATATGTGTATGTAAGATAACGAACAGTTGAAAATTTTAATTTTAAAAATATATGTAATATTGAAACATATTTATTAGGTGATATTGTAGTTATAGTGAATTTTAGATAAATGACGATATACATTAAGCTGAAATGTGTGTGTATATACACATTGTTGATTTAAATAATATAAGCTAAAAATTATAATCAATATTTAATATTAAATAATAAAAACAAGTATAAATAATAAGTAAAAAAGGACATAAAAAATTGAATGAGTATGAATAACGAGTATAGTCAACGTGCAATGCATGTTATAAAGTCATACAAAAAAATTTCACTACAATTAGTAGCATGCAAAAATCTTAAAAAGAAGCAAATCACGCAATGACGTACAATAATCCTTAAAGTTGTTGCTTACACATAAAATGATTTTTGTAAGCTCAAAATATGAAAGTAAAATGTAAGTAAAAACAATCCAAATATATATACACATTAAGTGCAAGTAATTGCTGGATTTTGTATGCCGTCACAGGTCACTTTGGCATTGGAACATAAAGCAGATTCAGTTGAAGGTTCATTGCCTATGTAGGTTAAATCAATATCAGAAAGTTCTACTCCTTCACAAGGAAATGCTGAGCTACATTGTAAATCAACTGCTGCAGCTGAAATTGATGTGCCCTTAATGTTTTTGAAATGAACATCACTAACCTTCACCTTAGAATTAGATGGTTGCGCCTGCATAATATTACACAACGCTTTAAATAAATGTTGTCATAAGATTTCATCTTTTTATTGATAGGATTCCCTGAATTAATTACCTCCTTATCTTTGATACCATATTTCTGATCTATGATAATCGGGTTCTTTACATCATTCATGATAATATCCTGGTAAACAATGCCAAAAGCATTGCTGGGACCTGAATCGGAATATGTTTTGATTCTAGCACCGTTTGTAGTCTTTGAAAATGTGCAGTTAATCACAGTAATCCCGCTCACATCGTCCTCATCAGGATATTTGCCAAGGCTTCCGACACTAGACCACAATGACGGAAAAGGAAATTGAAAATTTCATAATATTATTCTTAAAAATTGGAAGTACCCAAGAATAGAAAAGATTTAAAGAAAAAGTTAATTACCTAATGCCATGTCCCGGGCCACAAGTAACTTGGGAAACTGTAAGATTTGTGGTTCCATCTCCGATTGAGACGCAATCATCACCAGTTCCAATCATACTGCATCACCAGTTCCAATCATACTGTCAGTGAGACTGATAGAACTAGAACCGCTTATATGTATGCCATCGGTGTTCGGACTCTCGTCTGGAGCCGTTATGGTGAGATGGTGGAAGGCAACATTCTGACATTTTACAACGTGGTAGTGGAAGAACATGCTATTGAGGGAGGTGATCTTAGAAACTTCTGAATTGGTCACTTTATGGAACCTAAGCGACTAAAACGATATCCCAAAAAATCAAAAAATCATTTCAATACTATATAATTAAAAACAACAACACAATTGATTAATTAGATGCTTACAGCAGGAAGCTTCTGGCAATCCTCGTTTGATTTGCAGTCATTGTATTGCCAAACAACGGGTCCTTGGCCGTCGAAAGTTCCTTTACCGGTCAAAGTTAAACCGTCGATAGATTCGAAGGTCATCCATTCTGGTGAAGTATATTCGCTGAGCTGCACATGGCCCTTGAAATATAGTAGGGCCTGTTAAAAATGTTCCATCTGGAATAACAACTTTTGCAGGAGCAGTGGATGCGCAAGCTGCCTTCCATGTTTGTATAAATGACTACATCACATTTCTACCATTAGTGCTTAATATAATTTATAGCTACATTGAAAACCTTGTTAGAGTTTGAAGTTCTGATACGTCTTACCATTGCATTATTCGTTTTATCGTCTGCTTTAGCACCATGTTCTGTGACGTCAAAAACTGTAATTGCAGCACCGCTTGTTTCTCCAAGGGCACGTCGATTACGGAGACCCACAATGGTGTGGCTAAGTGCACCATTTGCCAGACAAGAAAACAAAGCTAAGACTAGAAAAGTTATAGCCTTAATCTCGAAGTTTCCTGTGCTGGCCATGGTGACTTAAGTATCCAGACAACTACTTTTGTTTGCTTTTACTTTGCTAATGTTTGAAAAATCTCATGAATTTATACCTTCTTTGAATCTATCTATAGTAATCTAATAGAAAATAGACTTGGTCCTCCTCCTTTTTCTTTGATGCATTGTTTAAATTTAGCACTATTATTTAGTCGATCGTACATGGAAAACCCATGTCATTTCTCCTACTTGTCTACCATCCGCCTCCTTATTAATCGGGAAGAAATGAAAGGTTGAACCACTTCCAATACAAGGCCAAAATTATACATGGGTCTATTTTTATGAGTCTAAGACAAGAGCATATTTTGGCTAAGCACATTTTAACATATTACATTTCATCTTCCTACATTGATATACATATTACATATATGTACACACGCAACCAAGCCAATAAAAATACCGAGATGGTGGTGCAGCCGGTGCTGGCACTGTTAGTGCTGATTTGCTGGTACGATATTTTGCAATTATGAAACCACCATATGTGAAGACTGCCTTGCAGTCAATAGTTTCCTTGCTATGATAATAATTTTGCAAATTAGCAAGCTAATTAATATGATGGTTATAAGGCCTCGACTTTCTGCTTTTACTACAGTTGTCAAGTAAAGCGAATGCTTCTATTCCAATTTCTTTTATGTTGCTTGAAAAAATCATGTTCACTAAATTTCTACAACTCTCCCTACTTACACAAGGCCATAGAGGCATAACCCATTTTATAGAATTAGAGCTTGTGATTCCTTTTCATTTTTGTTTGATGCACTTTCGGTGGCAACTTCCAAGATGCTTCAAGTTTAAATTCGTATCTATCATCTTCTTTTGTGTGGTTAAGTTAGTATTGCTCAAACTTAATTATTCACTTTTAAATTCTGAGCTTTGACTAGAAAGAAAAATGTGGATCAATAAGGACAATAAAATTTAAAGTAGAGTATTTGGCAGTTGGCACTTGATATAAACTCCAAATTTTCTTCGAGACACAATGTCTCCAAGCTGAAACAAAGTACTTTCGTACTTTTAAATTAATTAACAAAGAGGGAGGTGACGTGACAAATAAAAGAATTTAGAGTATAAATCTAAATTTAGAGTTATAATAGGATTAAAAATTATCGAAATGACTAAAATTGTTTCTTTAAATTATTTCTTCTCAAAAAAAAAAAGAAAAAGAAAAAATTTTTTTAACTCTAACCACTGTGGAATAGGAATTTATAAAACATGTTTATATGCTAATGTTATTTTTAAGAATTCTCCATGTAACCAAATGCTTAATTATATTGTTTCAACATAATAAAACATATGAAGTATGAATAACTAAAGAATATCAATTTGGTGAGTAAAAGGATTCAAGGTTTCTCTCAGGCTTGAGTTTTCACTAATTTAATGAATGTTATTTGAAGTGGAATGATATCATTTCATCTCATTTGTCTCCGTTAAGTTACCATAACATGTCTTTTCTCTTACACAATCATCTATCTGTACTATATATAGTGGGAATGAGAAGAAATTTTAAAATATCATATTTGATAATTGATAATAATTTTAGTTTATTAAATAATATGAATTTTTAATAATTAATAAATTATGATGTTAAATTATTAATCAATTGACTTTTTTTTTTATTAATTGATTTAAAAAGTTTACATTTGATTAAATCTCGGTTATATTTAATTATTTCTCAATTTCAAAATGAATTCATTACTAAATCAATCAACAATCATAATTATCTTTAATGGTATCCAGGAGTATTGTTTAAACTTTAATTTTTATAAACATGTAATTATTTATTTTATTCTAATACTCGAATATGTCTCTAACTTTTTCTTTTAACATTTGCGTAAACGAAATTATTATACAAACCAATATAAATATTTCAAATACAAAAGAAAAAATCAAGAAAAAATAATTTAAGAATTTTTAATACCAAATAAATTTATTTTCTCAAAGATGTAATATGGTTGGATATTTAATAGAACAAAGTTATTTAATATAACACATGATATTTTCTTTTAAAAGAAAAACAGTATGAACATATTATTTTGCCATAAGTATATATGATAATGAGACATTTGAAAACCCTTTTGATTTCTATTTTGTATTTAATTTAAAATATTTTATTGAGGAGTGAGATAAGAAATATATGTAATATTTTATTCTTATATCTATGTATCTAAATATATTGAAACATATTTATTAGGTATTGTAGTTATAATGAATTTTAGATAAATGATGATATAAATTAAGCTGAAATGTGTGTGTATATACACACTACTATTTTAATTAATTAATCGTTATATTCACATTAATCTTATATGAAATTTTATATTAACATTATAAAAATTTAAATAATTATAATCAATATTTAATGTTAAAAAATAAAAAATGAGTATTAATAAAAATTTAAAAATGACATACAAAATTGAATGAGTATGAATAACGACTATAGTCAACATGCAACGCACGTTATAAAATGACTAATAATAATGAAAGGCGCCAAACTAGTCCAATGGTTTTAATAATCGAAATTCCATCAGTTTGGATTAATTCAATTCAGTTAAAAATGCCATTTAATTAGGTGGAACGCTCACTCTCTAGGATCAATGGCTAGAGTATATTTAATTGGTTCTTGGTGAGAAGATTGACTAAGAAAATTTTACTTGTCTAATTTGAATTGCCGATTTTCCCTTCGTTTATAAATTCACCTTTTTTCTTTTTTCGACTGGCAAAAATTATTAAGGATAAGAAGGAAAAAAAATATCATCGCTCATCTTTTAAACGACAACTTAGACTAATCCTTAGCATACCTCTCTAACTATTGGAAAGTAAAAAATAAAAAAGATTACAATAGCTGAAATAGCTTAAGTAGTAAGTCATATTTAGATCTAGAGAATCTATGTAAGGGTTTTTTTTTGTTAAATTTCATGTCACTTAAAAAATGAAATTTTACAAAAACATTTTAGTAATTTATCAAAAGAAAAATCACAAAATAACAACTATATAGGTGAAAAAAATTCACAAAATTTATATGTTAATTGAACAAAATTGAAAGAATATGAAATAAACTAAAAATGCCAAATGCATAAATTCACTTTCGTACTTTACATAAGAAATCTTATGATACTCTTAACTTCATGAGGGACATATTATGCCCCTAAAATTATATATTTTAGTAATATTGCAACCTTTTTCATACTAAAATAATAGTTCTTTTTTTAGTATTTTTAGTTTTTATATGCAAAATATTGTTTTTATATGTGGTTAGCACAACTTTTAGAATAATAATTTTCATATTTTTCAACAATTCAATAAGTGTTTAATTGATCTAAATTTAAAATTTTGAGTATTTAATAGAAAAAATTTTGTATGTTGAAATTATTTAATCAGTACAGTTTTATAAATTGGATTATTCAATCAGTCAAAATAAAAATTGAGGGTGTAACAATATTTTTGTAAAGTAAGAGGTTAATTTATGCATTTGGCCCTATTAAAAATATTTACAAAATTCTGGATTGATAAGAATTAAAAAAAAAAGAAAAAGAAAAAGAAAAGAAAAAGAAAGGCGTATTAATGATTGAAACAAAGATTTATTACACATGTAAAAGTCATATATCAAAATAGGCACACCAATTATTCAATAATGTATAACAAATTTATCTTTTACAACCATTTGGAAATTTTCATTTCAATCACATCCTAAGATTCAACATATAAAAAGCACACAAGATCAACCCTTGGGTTTATATTATTTTAAATTTTTCTCAATTCAAATTTTTGTGCACACCTAAAAATCTAGGTTCTAGGTTGTAATAGAGAATAGATGAAAACATAGACCATGTCATAAATTGAAATAATAGAAACATGAATTTGTCTTCAGTGACCAGCTCCAGGACTTGGGACCGAATTAATTAATATCCGATCAATCTTGGAAAGATGAGAAACTATTAGCCTTTCATATGCAGAAATTGCATGGACTCTATCATTAAGAGAAGGGGATGGATTGAGGTCATTGCCCTTAAGAGGGACAATCAAAGCAGAAGAATTGCCCTTAAAAGAAGTAGTTTCTCTCTTCTCCATGTCCAACAACTTTCTTCCTTCAAAACAAGGTACATTATGACAAATCAGGACAAGAAGAAGAAGAAGAACAATGCCTAAGGTTGTGCTTACACGAACCATGTTTGTTATGGTTACTAGAATCTTATACTAAGAAAGTTAATTGATATTTGGGTTATGTAACAGAGGAGATGGAGAATATTGGGTAGAGGGGTTTTGCTATTTATAAGATTATTACAGATAAGAATCGTGAGGTTTAAGTAATTTATAGTTTGGTTGAGTTAGTGTATTTGAAGAAAAACAAAAGTACAGTAATACAAAATTTCCAAGTTTATCTTGAAAGTTCTTGGTGGGATTTGGGCCAAAGCATTTGGGTTAGGTATATTTGAACAAAGTTTTTTCTTGCTAATTTTCATTCATTTTTGTCATGTGTTTGTTTTACACAAAATGCTTGGAGTGAGAAAGGTAAGTAAAGCAAAATTGGGTAATCTAGTTGATAAGGACATGGGATCTGGTGTTTCTTCTCAATTCGAGTAATTAAGCTCTGCTAGATAATACCTCCATGAATAATATTCTTAAATACACTGCAGATGAAAGAAATAACGCATTTAGTATCGTTTGAAAAGAAATTGTTCTTCCAAATGTGTATATATTAGTTCATTTAAATAAGGGAGAGAGAGCCCTTCAATCGCCTGAAAATGTGATGTAATCTTGGTGACTATCTAATTCGATCGTATGAGTGAAAGTGCACCTTTAGTATCGCCTGAAAATAAGATTTAATATTGGTGAATATACATTAATGCAAAAATTTCTACAAGGCTTTTAATAATAATAATAATAATAATAATAATATAGTAGCAAGGAAATTTTTTAAAAACAATAGAACACTTTCTTCTAAGTTCATGAAACATTTTTAAGAGTTTTCAATATGGAAACCATTGGTCTCCAGAAGTTCTTGTGGTACATAATTAGCAATGAAG